TGAACTTTGGTTGTAGATGAATGAGCTCTACCCTCGGCGACAAGCAAGCAGCAGGGGGTCCTGTACTTCCCACCGTGATGGTGGTGGAAGATGGTTAGGCGAAGACGGCGGTAGGAACGTCGTCGTGGTCAAAGTGATTAGGCTGGTCATGCATGATAGAGGGTTGCGAGTTACGACTTCAACCGTGGTCGCAACAGGAGCCAGGTGGGGCAGTGAGTGGAGAAGGCAAGGGAGATTGCACGTAGATGGAGCTGAATAGATGTCCAGTATGGGCGTGATTGGTTGCAGAGCAAGCCTCGAGCCAGATGGCCAGCTGTGCATGACCAAAGAAGTTGGATTGAGCTCGTATAAGTGGTCGTGTTTGGTTGTCTTTGTTGTTGGTTCAGTACAAGATGATGTCATGTTTGGTTGCATGCATGCATCAAAGTTTTGGGTGTCTGACACATGGCCCCTGCACCATGCGTGAATCAGGCCGTCCTGCATGGAGAGGGAAGTGGAAATTGAGAAGACGAAGACGTGTGGGGTGGAGGAGGGCAGATGAATGAAAGGATGTAGGTGAAATATGCGAGCAGGGGAACAAACACGGCCGCAGTGCACAAAGTGATACCGGATGGGCCTTCCTACGGCGTGAGTGGGGCAACCAATCACGCCCTATGTAACGTTCAATCTAGGCTGTTGCTTCTCTCTAATGGCCAGGAATTCGATAGATTTAGGGTGCAAATTTCTATCATCAGATTTCAGATAACTAGCGTGGGCTTATCCTGTTTCGTCGGAAAAAAAAGTGTGTGTGTGGGGTGGGGGGAGCCCGAACTTTTACACAGATGGTATAGCCCACAACCAACGTATATTAGAAGTGGCAGTTCAGAAATGATGATAAGGAAGCTTCTTATTGTACCATTGGCTGCAAGTACCGTCCTCCGGTCCCTCCTGGCTTCGTAGCTAGTTATAGCTGTCTGTACCAGCATCTTTCAAACAGTGTAACGATCGAACTCTTTGTGCAGTTAACTTTTAGCTCAAAAAAAACAAACGAAGAAAGGTTAGCCCCATTACTACCTGATTCCTGATGAGTCCTGAGAGGCCACTTTGCTTGCCACACCGTAAACTAGCAATCATGTGTGACTGTGTGATCTTCTGTAGAGTGGGATGGGCTTTGTTTCCAGGAGCAATCATGCATTAGTTGCGGCTACTGTATCTGTGTATAGGAGTATGTTGATAGCAGTCGATAGTGGAAGGTAGTGGTCATATATAAAAATTAAAGTGATATAGAATTATATATAATATATAGAGAGACGGCTTAATTTAACTCTGCGTGGGGGAACTAATAGCATAGCTATTGTGCTTTCATTATTTACCCACTCTTCCTAATGGTCAGATGTCTGAGTTCTCGGGCGATACTGTATCTACTTCTGCTTTGATTTTTCATCCATCGAGTTGAATGTCAATCTTTATATTACATGTTCATAAGCCAACGGTGAAGATCGTTGCCTGAAAAGATACTATATTTTAGACACCTAAAATATAGCAAGATCCTTATTTACCCGGCTATATATACACTGCCAGTGATAGTTTGGAACATGTTTGAGTGGTGACATATGTCATTGGTAAAACTAATCAAGCATGGCCTATAATACTCTAGCTACTACTAAAATTTTTTTGTGTCTCCTTTGGTGCCTAGATAAGTCTGTCTTCAACAGGAGACCCATTATGAAACCTAAACCCAAAATAGGCCTTCAACACAATATCATATAGCCTACCTATATGGAAGACCCATTTTAGGCGTCAGGAGAAGTATAATCCAAATCTGAGTATCCTCTCTCATGGAGATTCATTTATAGAAATGGTTGTCTTTTGGGTCTTGTTGGAGAAGACAAAAATATATATTGAACTATTTGACTGTAGCGCTATCAAAGGACAAACGTGGACAATTGCTGTCAGACTGATAGAAGCAGTGAGTACACTTTCAACATGTCATCAGCACATTCTGGAAATGTCCGCGTGTTGCCGATACGACGTGCTACGTACTGCTACTAGTCGTAACATTGGATGGAGCACGACGGGAATCTTCCTCGGAAAGCGTTACGCACTAGAAAACGAGGCAGGGCGTTGTTGCGCGTTCCATCAAGTAGAAAAATCCAATGCATGGGCGGGGACCACGCTGCCTGCTGCGCGCTGAGAGCCTGAGAGTGCAGCCTATACATCATCACCATGGCACGACCTCTCCATTTTTTCCCCATGCAGGATGTCGCCGAGCACGACGCGGTATTATTACAGAGTTTATTACGATCTCACGGTCACAGAGCATCATATCATATATATGCATGGCCGTGGAGGTCAGTCATCTCAAACGTTCATGGCCACGCCCGTGCATGCATATTGTTACATCACGGCGCGCACCATAGCCATGGCGGATGCACCGCGCACGTCTTTACAACTGCCCTTTATTAATAGCCCGACGGGAAAATATATAGTAGAGCATAAACACATCTCCGCTGATCTTCTTTTATACTTGGATGGCATATGCAATTGGGACACTTGGAAGAGACCAGGGCTTAGCTTGTCACGTGTAACCCCTAGAGTTTGAATCTCATCAGCTTACTGTTGATGACCCCTGATTCATCACGTACCAGAAGAAATAATGAAAGTTATTGACCTCCTATTGCAATGCTTGGTCGTCGATCGTGTCCAAAGGGATTTATCAATGTACACGGTGTAGTATACAAACATTGCATGACCTTCGATTGCCGCACTTTTCTATTTGACCAGCTGGGCAGCCCCATGCCATGCGGCCGCAGATGGGCGACGGCCACGTACACCGCATCCCCATTTGTTTTGGACCCCAGACGGCCAGATAAACCCTTTTCCTAACTCCTGACAGCCAGGCAGCACCAGCCCTGGCTGCTCCGGAGCCCGAGCCCAGACAAATCGAAACATCACACACGCATGCGGACCGCGACACGGACCGCCAGCGAGTATGGTGACAGCGCCACCGGCTGGGAACGGACGCCGCCGCGCCGAGTTGGTGTGCGACCCCCCTGGACCCGGACCCTGGCTGGCCCGGGCGCTGCGGCCCATCGATCGGTCTCCCCACTACGTTCCCATGCGTGCATTGACCAGCCGCCCGCCCGCGCGTCGGTGACGGACGGACGCGCCCGCGCCGCGCGGCACACGCACGCACGGGCAGGAGAAAGAGGAGATATCGATCGAGCACCCGGCCCGGCATCCGCGTGCGTGCGGACGGGGGAAAACGCTGGAAACCCCCGTGATCTCGTGGATGCTTCGCCCCCGCTTTGGCTTTGGGTCCGTGGTGGGCGCGGCAGGTGCGTGCGAACACGTACCGGTCGGCGTACGGCTCCGCCAGCCCGTGCTGGCGTCGGCGGTTCCGCTTGCCCCCACCTAAACACGGACCGGGCGCCGAGGACTTGGGCGCCGCCTACGGGCACCGCCGCTTAATGGGGTGGAGAGCACCAGCGTGGTACACCGACGCCGGCAGGAGTTGGCCAGCTAGCGGAAGCCGGAAGGAGAGGGCGCGCGACGTCCCGAGCCCAACGGTCCAATTTGAAGCCGAGTTTAATTTTCAGCCACGGGCCGGCGAGATTACCTGTCAAGCAACTGCAAAAGCGTTGAAAAACTAGAGGGCGTAACCCCAGGCGGGGCTGGAATTTGCGCCTTCTTTTGGACTTGGTGCTCGCCCGCGTTGAATGCAGGGCAAAGGACTGACTCCCATGTCACGGCTGTGTGCGTGAGTGAGTCCTGGCTCCTGGCCTGGCTAATAAGCTTTCCAGCTCCTGCTAGGCTGCTACTACACATTCCTGGCTTCTATTTGAAGCAAGTCCCTTTCTGCCGTAAAGAAAAGGGACGGGCAAGCAAAGATAATTCTTCTTTTTTTTACATAGGACCCCGCTGCACACTTTGGGAGCAATTGCGGGGGCGAAATGCAAAAGGCGTCAAGAACAATCTAGGGTTCGAGGCTAGCTACAGCCTTACAGGTGTCTGACTGATGATCTGCGGCCGATGCTGATTTTACCGTTTGATATACAGCCATTAGTAGCTGCCAGTAATGTAGAAAGCGACCCACGTTCAGTATGGATGGGAGAAAAAATTGCCGAGGAAAGTGACAGCCTCTAGGCTCGTCGCCGTCATCGTCACAGCCTCACAGGCTCCCCCAGCCGGGCGCGTCTCGAGTTGCTTGGCCACGTCCATAGTTTCCAGCAGTGCTTTCTAGGGCCTCGTTTAGATTGGGGTTAGAAATTAGTATTTGGTACTATAGCACTTTCGTTTGTATTTGATAATTATTATCCAATCATTGACTTAACTAGACTCAAAAGATTCGTCTCGTAATTTACAATCAAACTGTGTAATTAGTTATTTTTTTATCTACATTTAATACTCTATATATGTGTCCAAAATTTTGATATGATGAAAAGAAAGCGAAAAAACTTGCAATCTAAACAAGGCCTAGTTTTCCACTTCAGGCCAAGGCCATCAGGTCACAGCTTTGGATGGGTTAAATCGCGGGTCACTTGAGCAGTTGACCCTGCTAGCTCTGCTCGCCTCGCGTGCCACTCACCGCCGGGCCTCGTGACTAATTCCAACAAGGCCTTGCACCGCACGCTGAAGGCTCACTGCCTCGCTGTGAATACTGAACCCCAGATGCAGAATTTCAGAACGCTAATTAAGTCATTAAAAATGTCCTAAAAAGTCTCAATGCAACAAAATAAGTAAGTAGCGCGAGGAATTTTTTTTGCTGTGATGACAGCGCCTCTTGTTTATCTCGCAGCCAAAGAGAGAGCGCGGAGGGCTTCCGGCACCGTTTTGCCTATAAAAAGTCATACCAACTGCGCGTCCTGTTGAAACCCCAGAGCGCTCCATTCTAAAGGCGTGTAGCCGAAGCCCCTCCCCCTCCTGTAGCTGATCTCCCTCTGACCCGGGCCCTCTCTGCTCTGCTCATCCGCTGCCTCCCCCTGCTCGGAGTCGGAGCTTGGCGGCGGCATTCCCCGGCAATGGGGTGCAAGGCGTGCGACAAGCCCAAGCCCAACTACCGGAAGGGCCTGTGGTCGCCGGAGGAGGACCAGAAGCTCCGCAACTACATCCTCCTCCACGGCCACGGCTGCTGGAGCGCGCTCCCCGCCAAAGCCGGTAAGAGCGACAATTCGCCGCCGCTGCATGCGTCTGCATTCCTGTCGAGTGTGGGAGGAGCGGAATTGAGGTGGCTCGGGTGCATTGCATCCGGAATTCAGAACTCGAGCAGTGCCGATTGCCAGTTGCTGAGGTCTGAGGGGCGAGAACAGAGCCGTGTTATCTGAAGGAATCCTTCTGTTAAAATGATCATCATTTTAAGGAGTTTTCCTGCTGTTTTTTTTAATAGGGTATTATAAATGAGTTCCTCTGGCCGGCTCACTCTCGAGAGCTGACTGGCCGCTTCTTTGCTGGAAATGAAAAAGAAAGCTCTCTGCCTTACGTTTCGTCGCACGCAGTAGTTTACTTTCATCTGATTGATCATAAACAAATGTGCATTAAGCATTGGTCTCAAAATTTGAGGAATTCTGTCTGTGGCGTCGGCATGCAGGGCTGCAGCGGAACGGCAAGAGCTGCAGGCTGCGGTGGATCAACTACCTCCGGCCGGGCCTGAAGCACGGCATGTTCTCCCCGGAGGAGGAGGAGACGGTGATGAACCTCCACGCCACGCTCGGCAACAAGTAAGCACCACACCACACCACACCATCCATCCCGCGCACTGCTGCTTGACACCGTCGGTCTAGTCCTTCCCACGCAAATGATTGAGACGACACACAGTTCTCCACGTTGCCCTGCCTGCCCTCTCGCTTTTGCTGGCATAATTTTCTCCACACTGCTGCTACCGTGCTACGTAGCCGCTGCTATCCCTATCCTCGCATTTGTCCCTGTCCCTGCTCCGCTCCGCTGCTCGGCACGGCAGGCAGGCACCGCCGAGCTGGCGGGCCGCTTCTAGAACACGCAGAACCGATCGCAAAAAAAAACGCGGGGGGCGATATTCGAAAGGGAAACCGGTGACGATGGCCGCCGAGACCTTTTCCGTAGTGGAGTCGTCGATGCTGACGTGCACGCTCCACGACGCTGCACATTCGAATTTCGGAGGAGATTTTTTTCCCCTCTCACTCATCCCCGCTCCGAGTGCACGTTGCGATGATTAGAACGATTTTGTCTTTGGCGCAATATGTATATTTGTTTATTACTGGATGGAAAAAGGTGTGGGCCTGCTTTAGTGGCGCAACAGGGACAAGTTGGGCCGGCTAAATAATGAGAACTTAGTAGAAACGCTAAATGCCATACAGTAGAGTTGCGTCCGGCTGCAAGTTATCTCAAACCCGTTTCGCCCTCTCTTTTTTTTTTTTTTTTGCGTATACAGTAGTAGAGTATCATTTTGGGAGGGCGTTGTACAGGGGATTGGATTAGCAACAACATCGTCCTTTCAATATGTAGCACAAGCACACATGCCGTCGACTACTTGGACCAATCCGTGTCGGCCTGCGAGTTTAATGAGAACAGCTGCTTTGACAAATCCGAACTGGCACGTAGCAAGCTAGTTGGCTCACGAGAAGATGAGATTCTTTATTGGGGGCCTTCGCAATTATGCCAACCAAAAAAAATCAAAGGCCCGGTGGTGGCCCACGTGAATAGACTACGTACACGCTTGTCACTTTCGACCGAGCGACACATTTTTCTTTTCTTTAGCCATCGGCACGGGGAAAAGACCGGAGGAAACCTCAGCTCTCGTAATGCAAAAGGTTGGGGTTTCCACTAACCCCACCGACAGAAACGAACGAGAGCTTGGGTGAACCGCAAGGCTGTGCCTGTGCGTGCGTGACATGCGATGCGAGCCTGACGCCTTTTTCCACCCGCAAGTCCAACGGAGCTAGCGGCTTGGTTTATTGATTGACGCCGATTTTCTGCTGCAGGTGGTCTAGGATCGCACGGCACTTGCCTGGCAGGACCGACAACGAGGTCAAGAACTACTGGAACTCGTACCTCAAGAAGAGGGTGGACAGCAAGGAGGGACCGAGCACGCCTGCGCCGGCGGCGTCCGCCGATTCAGACGACTCGCACTGCGTCAAGCCAGGGGACGACGGCACGGCGCAGGAGGAGAGAGCAGCCAACCGGCCGGTGGACTCCGGCTCGTCGGAGCCGCGCGAGTCGTCGTCGGCCGACTCGAGCTGCCTGACGGACCCGCCCGCCTGCAGGCCCCACGCCGCGCCCGTGGCGGCGCCCAAGGTCATGTTCGCGGACTGGCTGGACATGGACCTGGACATGGACATGGACTACATGGGCGGTGGTGGCCTGCCGCCGCCGGCCGCGGCAGCACCTGGTCTGGGCGCTGCGGGCGTGGCCAGCACGGGCGATCGCGATCAGCATCAGGTGTCCGTGCAGGTGGATGGGCCATCCGGTGTCGATGTGTCCCTGCACGGGTTCGGTGACAGCGGCGCCAGCTGCTGGGAGTTCCAGGAGCACTTCGACGACGGCATCGATCAGATGCAGACGGCCGGCTTCTACGACCTGCTCTCCATGAGCGACTACTTCGGCCTCAACTAGGCTCGGCCCTGGTTCTGGTTGGTGATCGATCGTCGTTGGTGAAAGGATTTGCGTTTTTTTTTATTTAAACTTTCACTGTTCGCTGATGCTGAAATTTGGTTTATGCTGAGGCTTATGCTGAAATATTGTGAGAGAAAAATATTAATTCATAGCTGAAAAGTAGTTTCGAATAAGCTTAAACGAATAGGACCTTTGTTAGAAGTTTCGATGAAAGGCTTGCTTGTGATTGTAAATTATTGTCGTGTACTAGTAGGCATAGATATAGAAGAATTGAAAAGCAGATATAGAAGTCAAGGACCTACCGTGTAAAATGTTGTCGTGTTTAGGAGTGTTCGGCTGTCATTATAAATCGACTTATATAAGCTGGTTTATAAATCATGATACAGTATTTTTCTCTTTCAATAAATCAAAAAACATAAGTGACTTTAAGAGCAGCCGAACACAGCCTTTGTTGCGGTTCGCTTTGGAGAGTACAGCACCGACGGACGGAAAGAAAGAATTATAGTTATTATATATAGGAATAGAATAGAAAAATACTGAGAGTAGCACGCTTGCAGCTAGCTATTGGGCTGCACAGTCTGTGTTTTCTTAATTCGAAAATGAGACATCATCTTTTTTTGTCTTTATTTTTCTTTCTTTTCCAACTGATGGACATGGACTGATGGGAGCTCATTTATTGTGGCAATCATCTTCGCTAGCACTGTATTATCAAATGGAAACATCTACGCAAATCTCTCACTTTCAGGGACCCGCTTTGAGGACACTACCTTTTCTTTTCTCTCCATCGTCGGCGCGGGCTTTTTATGTTGTATATGTATGTATAGGAGTAACTAACAAATATAGTGAGATTCAAAAAAAAAAAAAACTAGCAAATATAGTGGCGTGTTATAATAGACCGTATTATATAGCTTGTGTGCCAACAGAACAGCTTGCGGCAAGAGCCAAAGTGCTAATTTTTGCAAGAAAACTCTAAAAACTAATTTCGAAGGGCTTCCGAAATGGTGAGTCGGCGTCATTGCGCTGACGTCTTCGGAGGGGCTCCGAATAAGAGATCAAGAGTGTGATACTCTAGTCTTCAGAAGAGAAACATGAAGATATATTCGGGAGATCAAGACTCCTCGGAATGAAAGGAATGTGCCGTTCAAATTCATCTATATTCACAAGGGAGCCCAGCAATGTTCTAGAGGGCAACTGAAAGCGAGGGGGTGGCCAATAGCTTAGAAAGACAAGTCCGATTCGTACTCTCACGACTCGAGGCTCCATGACACCCTATGATCCGGTGGAGGCATTTTGAGGACAACCAGATTGCAGCCATGCGCCCAGGGCCGTCCCAACAATTTCTAGGGCCCTTGGGCAAGCAAGACAATGAAGTCCCGGCAATCTAATATTTTAATATCACGAGATTGAACTATATAGTACTACTGGTAATAAGAGTTAACTCGCAAAATATAGTTCGTTAAAAAACGACAATACATCAAAGAAGTTTAAAGAACGGTGAAATCACAGTAACATGAAATGACTTAAAATTTAAAACAAATTATGGGCAGCCTGCTGCATGTGGCATGTCCATAAGTTCCTTGATGAATTAAATAATGAAACTAATAGATTAACAATTCGCTGCACTATCACTTGATGCCTGTATGTATTGGATTGCAAGGTAAAAAAGAAACTGAAGTTTTCAGATCGAACAAACAATAAATACTGATGAACTGAAACCATAATCACTTACTGCAGAGTCGTGAACAGGGATGAAGGGACTGCAGCGCAGCTGGGTTAGTGGGCGCCTGCTGGGATCCAGATACGGAAATCACGTCGGAACCGCCGCCTCTTGCACAACTAGACGCATACTTTCTGAAGTCGCGAATAGGAAAGGGTTGCCCAGACTGAACTGGACGTGACCGTATGGAGCCAAATGCATGTACTACATATACGTATACTCATGGGCCCCTAGTGCCATGGGCCCCCGGGCATCGCACTGTCTGCCCTCCCCCATGGGACGGGCCTGCATGCGCCCTAGCTCGCCATCCAACAACAACGACGGCCGCTGTCGCATGCCCACGCCTCCACTCGCTATAAGAAGATGACCTTGGCGAACCCTAGGATTTTGCCTATTGTACGCATCACACTTTCCCGGTGCATCTCCCTACCAAGTACCACCTCTCTCTTCTCCTACCATGTCATCCCCCGAGCCGGAGCAGGACCAACTCTCCACTACCGGTGGACGTAGGTGCTGTCAAGGGAGGAGCAGGACACAAGCGGGCACGGTGAACACGAGCAAGAGGACCACGGCGTTGATCACTTCGTCTCATTTCCTTCGTATTTTTTCCCTTTTGCTCCTTGTGCAATCTTGATAAGGCCAATCGAGCTAGTATGGGACAAGTAGAGGACGATAAGTTGTCGGCTTTGAACTTCTCCTATGTATCTGCCCGTGATGATGAGGCTTCTCGTGCCAATTTCTCTTCTGCAGGGATGATCATCACTGAGCGTCACAACCACGATAATGTTATTGTGGTCGGCGCCAATGATCACCACACGCATCGACATCACCCTTTGGGTGTAATTCACATGAAGCATTTACTATACTAGGAAATCTGTATATGTGCCTCGGTGTTACACCCTAAATCATTTACTAAAATATATCATGAGCATCATGTTTATGTGTTAATGCATATGATAAAATGTGTAGATCAATTTCTTGTAACTTAAAATGATCAATAAAATGTTAAACGAAAGTTGATTCAATAGTTCAGGTGTATCAAATAGGGTTTAAAACCAATTTTTATTAAGCAAAAATGATATAGAACATGTATGTGACACTTAAATGAAGTTTGAAATGTAAACTTTGTAGATGACAATGAAATACTTGGTATTGAAAAAGAATATTGCTAAGTAATATTTTTAGTAGCTTAGAAATGCAATCTGAAATTAAGATTAGCTCAAACACAGAAAATTTCTAAGCTTGTGGACAGCTAGACGCTGCTATGTTTAGCAATTTATTTGGAGAGATTGGGTTGAGGAGTGGTGTAGTGCTATGATTCGATTTAGTAGTTCCATATGCCATCTTGAGTGTAGTGAAGCCGGTTTAGGTTTAGGAGCAACGGTTTGGACGTAATTAGCGCTTTAAAATTCGTGTACGTCACAACTTTGTGCTATCTGGCGCCGTGCGCGTGATCTCCACGCGTGGCCGACCCACGTGGCCACGCGGTTGTGCTGTGCGTGCATGTGTGGCCGCACACCGGCTGGCCGTGGCCTTGCCGTGGCTTGACCGCTCTAGCCGCACCGCTAGGCCGCCGGTCCGCTCTGCGCCCCACCAAGACTCGCCACCGCTGCGCTGCCGCTTGTCATTGCCGCCTGCCTGCCGCCGCCCGCGCGCGTGCGACGACGCTGCCGCCACCACCATCATCGCATCGCGACGACGCTGCGCTGCGCTGCCTTCGCACTGCCGCCGCTTGCCCGCCTTGACGCTGTTACGACGCGGGTCAGTATCACCGTCGCCTTGCCATTGATGGCACTCCGGCGCGTGGGCCACGCCGGTCGTGAGAGTGCGTGTCTGTCGGCTAGTGCCTAGCCACGGGCTACGCCGGTCGCACCAGCCGCGTCCCGCCAAGGCACGCCCTTGCTGAGTCGCTGGCTGCCCCTCCCCCACCGCTCCCTCGCTCTCTCTCTGTGTTCTCTCTCTGCTGCCGCCGTCGAGCCGCACCATTAAATTCGTTAGGGAGAGATCATCTCAAGTCGATTCGTCGTGTTGTTGGCTCCATCGCATAGCTGCCTAGCTACCCATCCCAACCCCGCCTTGAATGGCGCTCGGTCGAGCTCCAATTTTGGAGTTGACCCGCCACCGTGTCGATATGGCCACGTCTGGCCACGGGTATGGGCATCTCTCCCATCGTCCCTTCCGAGCCAATTCACCTGCACCACTAGCATCGCCTTGACTCCCTCTCCACCTTGCGTGCCTTAGTCGAACCGCTACCGCCTCCCCTTCATCGCTGACGCGACCGTGCCATCGTGGTACGTCGCTGCATGGCTCGGCCGCACGTGGCCAGCCTTCCTCCGTCATCTTCCACCCCAACTGTCACCTGGGCCTGGTCTATGGTAGCCTCCTGATACTCATGCGCTAATCAATTAGGCCTGTAGCTACCCCAGCCTACCGGAACAGTGGCGCCGCTGTTGCGGATGGCCGCGCACGGCTATAGCCTTCCCTAGCTAGTCGTGTCACCCTGCACCGCCTCTTAGCGTAGCCGCTCGGATCAGAGATGGTGATCGACCCGCTAGGTAGGCCCGCGTAGGTCCTAGGTGGCCGGCGTAGACGCTCAGTGCCGCCGCTCGCCACGCCGCCGTGCACTGAGTCATCGGGGGTGCACGCGGGTGAATTTGGGAAAGGCCAGGAGTTAAGTGAGAAGTTATGAGAGAGAGGGGAAATAGTGTTTATACTTAGTTATAATTCAGGAGAAGTGCGAGGTCTATTTTGCAAAAACATCAGCGCGAGCGGGGTTTCCCCATCGCGGACCGTCTCCTCATGGGCCGCACCGCGGGCCACTGTGCGCTCGCGCGCGCTGCGTCGCGTGAGCCGTGCGGGAAAATTTGTTTTTCCTTTTCATAAGGAATTAGAAATAGTTTTCTAATATAATTTTTGAGCTGATCTTTGGTAAATCATATAAAATCATGTAGGTGTCCAAAAATTGTGAAACAAATTTTGTGAAGTTCCTAAAATTGTGCTCTATCTGTTAGTATACTTAGTTCATATATATATATGTTGATATCAGGAGCTATTAAATCATTTGAAAATGTTTAATATTATTAGGAGAATTATTGTATGAATTTTTGTGGTAAATTAGTGATAGCTTTAGCACTAAAAATTTTATAGCAGCATCGTGGTATTATTATGTGTTCACTGTAATTTTTGTAGCTTTAGACTAGACTAAACATAAGGGTAGTTATATGCTCTTTGTTTCAAATAAAGATATATCCTTCATTTGTAAAGTAAGGTGTTTGTTAGTTGA